ACTTGACAATGTGTTATTTTTTGCATAATGCATGCTCAACATCATATTTCACTCGTGCGTACTATTACCATAGAGGCACTTGATGAGTGTCCGCGCTCTTCCTAAAATCACCATTTAAATTTGGAAAGACTTATTGCGGTAAAACTAGTCGATCAGCGGTACAATCGACGGTTCCGTGCCTTTTCCCCTCAAACTGTTCGCTTGAGGGTACCAGTCTAGACTTCTATAGAAACTTACTCTGATAATAACTGTACATGCACCATGATCAAACCTAGCCTGGGTTAATATGTTGTCCACATAATAACCCTCTAAGAAAAAACTTGTCCAAAGTCCACCGGGGTTTCCATAATCTCAACGGGCGCAACCACGATATGTGCATTATTTGGAGAAATAAATGCCGACATGCTAATCGTTAATGTATGAGTAGTCGAATCCGGAGGGGGAAAGGGTCTAACTCTGTGGGCAGGGTCGGGTTCTTTTAGGAATAGACTTGTGAAGATCCTAATTAGTATATATAATTTATCATCAAATATATCTATTTGTAAATTGATTCATCGACTTATAACTTACTTAGATGCATCGTTGAATATTAAAAATAAAACGTTTGACATATATCTATAGATCTCTCTCTCTCTCTCTCTCTCTCTCTCTCTCTCTCTCTCTCTCTCTCTATATATATATATATATATATATATATATATATATATATATATATATGTATATGTATATGTATATGTATATTATAAAAGCATGAATACAAAGTCGGTTTACAAAAATCACCTTACAATATTAAGTATAATAACTCATAATAAAAGGACATAACCGGAATTCTACATATTAACCTTCTAATCCTATTAATTTTAGGACATAATACTACATGTTAGGAATTCCTAATCATGAAGCAAATCGAATCTAATTTTGATTAGAAAAGCACATCCATGAAATGTTACTTTCAAAACAAAAAAAAAACTCTTGTGCCAAATCTTCCGAAACTTTAGGATAAACATTCCTATTCGTATTAATCGTACAACTTTTATTTCTTCTCAATTTTTAATAGTTTGATTCTCTACTAAATTTTTGAAGGCCAAAGTATTACTTCAAAGAGATAATCTTTATTTAATAAAATTACACGTTTAGAATTTTACTTGATGATCAGAATTTTGAAGTGCCTTTACAATATATTTTTTTATTTATGTTATCTATAACCGTGTAGTGTTGACTGGCTTTTATACACCTTTTTAAGCTCATGGTTATTTTAGCTTAACATTAATATTAAGCTCAATTTAGTGATTATTACAATTTAATCAACTGAAACTTTAATATTACTTAAACTTGAGTTTTACAAAAATTACTATATCAAATACAAATAGTTAGGACTACAATACTCAGAATTAGGTCTTTCAAAATCAAGTTAGACACTTAATTTTACTCATACGAGACTTTTTATTAGGAATAAAAGCCTCTTACCGAATCAAATATATATGATAAATATTCTTATGTGTTTTTCATGAAACTAAAGATTAGATGAAAATAGAAAATTCCTTTGTCGATCACCCTAGATATGTAGATCAGTTACTTGCAATAATAAATAACTATTTATTGCAGTCTGATTTTGAAACTTTAATAGAGTAAGTAACATATAATAAGTTAGATTGTAAGATGGTAAAATTCATTTACACTGTTAAAATATATAACTTAACTCATATTAATTATTTTTCATTCTTCATTACTTACGTAATATACTAAGTTCTTGCTAATTTATCGATTTTAGTCACTTGAATTACTAATCCAACTAAATTGAAAAACTTATTTGTTTCTTTAATTTATTTTTTAATGTTAAAAACTTATTTTTTGCACAGGACTTTGTAATATTAATAGTACTTCACGTGTCACAAATGTCGATAGACAAACTAACAAGTAATGTTAGATGAACTTTAATTACTTTAACAAACTAAAGTCGGATGCACTTTTAGGTTTATGATTAAATAAGGATTAAAAGTATAAAAGTCAAATCGAAGTAATTCTTCAAGAATTACGTCAGTCTAAAGACAATTTTTATTTGAGTTATCACAATTGTTTACCAAAAAGATTAGATTAGACCAATTTTTTAAAATACTATCTTATGTTAATACCAAATCAATGCACCTAAATAATAGTAGTAATTTTTTTTTAGGAAGGGAGATAAGACCAATCAAAGAGAGGATATTAATAAGTCGTTTGTGAAAAAGTAACGAATTTTTAAAACGACTCTCAAGATTAAGTGCTACAAGTATTTTTAAAATTAATAAAAATAAAGACGCTAAATATAAACTTATAAGATTATATTTATGATATCAAAATAAAAAGATCCTACTACCAAATACTATAAAAGCAAGAACATATTTAATATTTGGTGATTTATTACTTCGTGTTGAGAGAACGAACAATTAAAAGAGGTGATGTGACCCTCATTCCAGAACAATTAATCGTTGAATACAATGGTGATAACAATTTAGTGTTTTGTGATTGTGATTATAATTGTGATATTTTATAATATAGATCGATCAATCAAACTACATATAGTTTGTTGATGAGAATCATGTCCTTACAATTCTTGATTGTGGAAGAAGTTAAGCTTTTGGCGAATAAAAAAATCTTTGCTTGCATATATATATATATATATATATATATATATATATAAGAGAACTTTAACCTTGAGCTACAGATGAATCTTCATCCTGAAAATCTCAAATATGTAAATAGAAATAACAGCCATAAGAAAATTCATATTTTTTTGCTTCTTTTGATTGGTAGCACATGTCAAGAAAATTTATGGTCTACTAAAAAGCGTCTAATAAAAAAATACCTATCAATAAACTCATGATGTTCGAAATATGTTCTTAAACTTTTACATGGCAACTCTTCTAGCAACATTTTCGTAAAACGATTAGAGAAGTGCCTAAAACCTGAGTTCGCAATAATTTAAGGAACAAAACTTCTTATGATTGAGCTGTTGGTAAATTTGCATTTTTTCAAATTTAGCTTACAACCTAATTATTCTTTCTAAATTTCTAATGCTTTATATGACATCTTTTGATTCAACACATTTGCTGATCATTAATGTAATAACATCAACTGTGTTTTTATATAATTCTTTCTTCTTCGGTATATTTTTAATTGATATGATATTTAACGTGCAACGCACGTCCGTAGAAAATAGCTCTTCTAAGTATATTCTTATCCCTGAATTCAACTTTCGTCTTTCGAAACTAAGGAATATTCTTTTAAATTTGTGTGAAAATAATTTTTAATATGTCTATGTTTTGCAAATATAATAAATAAAGCACAAGGACAAACATCCTAAATATTGGACTATGTTTACCGCAATATATTTTCTTGCACGAACAACTGTATGTTGCACTTTCAAGAGGGGTATCAAGATCGACAATAAGAGTTCTGGTTAAGGCGGAGCAACCAAAGCATTAGGAGAAAACATACACAAAAAAATATTGTCCACAAAGAAGTGTTCGTTAATATACCATCACATTAAATACTCTTAAATTGTAATACATAATTATCTAACTAACATGATAAAATTAATCATTTGTGTAAGTTTTGATGTTGTCCTTTTATTTTAAATTCATGTATTATGCTAATGTAATAATATTTTTCGGTATTTAGATGATTGTTGTATTATTATATATAAAATTCTTTCATTAATTAAATTGTATTGTTCTTTCGTATAAATAAATATGTAAATCATCATGTGCCATTATTAACGTGCAACGCACGTTCATAGATACTAGTATATATATATATATATATATATATATATATATATATATATAACACGCTTCGTTGTACTACTTTAACTACATATATAGCATGTTGTAGTATATGTCATAATATATGTAAGTGTATTCATTATTTGTATTACAAAAGTCTTAACGAATTACATTTATATTATTTAGATAGTAAATATAAAAGTGATTCATAATTTTGACCAATGTTGACCTAATAACCGGCCAACTTTGGTCGGTTATTTTCCTGAAATTAAAATATACCGACCAAAGTTGGTCGGTAAATTTAAATAAAAATTCTTTAAATTTTATAAAATATTTTAAATAATAATATAACTATTAAAATTCAAAAAATTGGGTCCACATTACCGACCAAAGTTGGTCGGTAACGTGAAAGTTTCTTTGACTGAGCAAGTCTGACCAGCTCGGTCAACTTGTTGACCAATTTACCGACCAACTTTGGTCGGTATGTTTTTTAAAATAAATGTAAAATATTTTTTTCCAGTTTCCGTCCAAGCTGCCCGTTTTTTGGTCGCTTTTTTTTACCGACCAACGTTGGTCGGAAAAGTTTGATCGGTTTTTTGCGTATTTCTAGTAGTGGTAGGAACCTGGTTCAACGACGTGATAATTTAACAAGTTAATGCAACCAATATTGGAAAGGAGGTAAAAAAGAATGCTTCCTTCTCTTCTTAACAAAGAAAATTTTCTCTCGCTATCTAAGACAAGAAAACACACGATAAGAAGAACAGAATGAGTTCTTTTTTGCCCTTTTTACAAGAGAAAAACGACGGAGAGAAAGAACAGAATGAGTTCAGCTTGCTCCTGTACGATCCCTTTCTAGCGTGAATTATGGAATATGTACTGGATTGACATCATTAGACAGTAATGAAAGAGGAGAAACATGAGAAATAAGGTCTTTTGTGATTTATTTTTTTGGGGTCTTTTGTGCTTGCTCGCTAAATTTCTATTATTTCTTGTGAGCTCAATTACAATTCACAAGCGGATTGAAGTTTTCTTTTCACACTTATATAAAAATGCTAAAACTTATTTCTTGTGAGCTCAATCACAAGCAGATTGAAGTTTTTCTGTTCACACATATAAAAATGCTCAAACCCTTTGTCGCCCGAACTGTTAATCATCCAGCATGTTTTTAAGAAAAATTCTAGTGTAATATTTAAAAAGTAAAAAAAAAAAATAAAGTTAATAATTTAGAGGGTAAAATTGAATTTGGCGCTAACAATTTGTGACATCCGGTTGAGTTTAAGTGCAATAAGCATAGTTAAGTAATTTTTGTGTTACGAACAGAAAGAACCTTCTTGAATTAAACACGGAGAAAACATAATAATATCTTCATAACGAATAACAGAACAATCATGTTGCCTTTGAGTTGTCACCATTTCCCATCGACAGCAGCATTGGATGTTATTAAGCTATTTGCAAACCAGAGGATGCTTCCGCTTCATCTTGTGATCTGGTTATATCTGTGCACAAGGAGAAATGTTCAAGGATCATGTTGTATCTTAAGAGTCTTATATTTATGTTACGTTAGACATGGAAGAAATAGGGGACACACAAAAGACTTGATATCTGATAACTACAATGAATACTTTGCTATTAGTACCTGCTAGTATTAGCACCGGCGCGGACACTAATCATGTCAAATATTTGTTTATTTGAATTATGTGTCAATCGTCTTAGAATTTAAACCTTCTTGATAACTATAGATAATTATTGGATATTAATTAAGAAACACTACATGAAAAAGATTAACCATTTCTCAAATTTCCTATTTATAATTCTAATTTCTTTTTTGGTACCATTCTCAGCGGTGTCATTGGATCCTGAAAATAATCAGGAAGCGAAATAATAAATCATATTATGGCAAAACAATCAAATGTAGACTATGAAAGATTCTTTAGATACGACTTGACTCTTGTGTTACTACTTGAACTCTTATTTGGTGTGTTGATATCTTTCAAAAAATATTTCTATTTTGAATTTTAGTTTCTAAAACTTTATTTTTCAATAATAATTATTTTTATAATAATGGAAGTAAAAATATTATTCTTAATTCAAAAACTCCGTTTAGTGGGGTATCTAAAAATTTAAATAATTCTTTAGCCAGTGACTTTATTTTTTTCAGTATGACTCCATTTTGATATTTGACACTAACCATATACATCTGAGTTGTTTGAATTATACGTAAATAACCTTAAAATTTAAACCTTCGATATAATTATAGATAATCTTTAGGTTATTAATTAAGAAATACTATATGAAAAAAAAACTAATATTTTTCAAATCTCGTAGTGAATTTTTTTTTGCACCATTCTTATTGGAGTCATTGGAACATAAAAATAGTCACGAAGCAAAATAATAACTCGTATTTAAACTAAAAAATTAAAGGATGTGAAATTTATATATAATCCATATATAATATGTGTATAATCATGGATTGTCAGTATATCAACTATAAAAGATCAACGATAAATCTGGCCGGATATTATGTAAATATTCCGTAAGATTTCGATTACTTGATTTCATCCATGATATGACTTATATTATAATAATTTAAAAATTTTCTACTAAAATTCCAAAATATCTTATCCTTTTATTTTTAAAATTACATTATATTATAAAAATAATCACATTTTAAAATAATTTTTATTCATATTTTTTAAAAATATATTTGGTGTCATACCATTTTTTTTTAAAATACTTTTTGTTACACTTGAAAATCGATGTAGAAACTACCAATTAGAAACCAATATCCCTCTTATTGAAATTCGAGAAATCTTTCACATAATTTAATGATTCGAAACTAATATTCTTCAACGAAAAAATATAATACCCCTGCAATGTTGGCTTGCCTGCAGCTAAATGAAAAGGTTTCAACTTATACCCTTCAATTTCTAAAAGGTGCTAAATTAAAATTAATGATAGTAATTGTATAACCAATATTTTGTAATTTATTTTTATGTCCATTTATACAATTGACTCTTCAAACAAACATTCTTCAAAAAGAAAAAGAAAAAATAACTTTTTTTTATTTTATATTAACACATTTTTGTAATGTTTCTTTCTACAGCATGTAGGTTTACTTCATTATATATGTAAGTAAATTTTTATTTGATTTTTAAACTCTTTTTTGTTATTTGAATAAACATAGGCATGTACCCTATATATTATATTTATTTTAAAGGAAATCTGTTTTATTCAAGTCTAGCTATAGTGTTTTAAAGAACTATAATTATAGGGTTTTAGATGTAAAAGAGTTTAGAATTATATGGAAATAGTATTTAAATAATAATAAAAAATAAACAAAAATTCTAAACATGGTTGTATATGATCATTAACTGAATTAAGCATGTTAACATGATAACAAAAGATAAACTTCTTTTTATTTTTATTTTAATTCAAATTTTAAAACTTGATCTATAAAATTTACAATCATCTTTTAATTCAAATTCATTATATATATATATATATATATATTTGTATTTGACTAACATAATCAATATAGAATAAAGTTACCATATACTATTGACATTTATTAGCTTGCCACTTGGCTTAACCATAATGTCAATTCTATATGGTAACTTTCTTGCTTTAATATATATATAAATATAGATTTTTAATGGGCGAGTAGTGTAAATAATAGAGATAACTGAAGAAAATATTAATGCAGGTAGATAGCTCACCTTCAATTGTCGCAGAAGTGATCTCGTGGAGCATATCTGCAAATGGTTTAGGCATCTTTGTTATCTCTACCTTTTTGAGAGCAGCGAGGAGTTTGAAGTCATGTAGGATCCTCAGTTTCTTGCAATTTTCAATTCTTATGTTACAGAGCTTGGGCATAGGATTGTTTTTTACAGTCCAACTCTCCAAAAACATCAAATTCAATATTTCTAAACGTTTGAGTTCAGCAAAACCAGAAGGAGGACTGACCATATGTGTCCCTTCAAATGCGTTATCATCGAGGACGAGAACGCATAAATTAGGAAGCTTAGATAACTTCTCCATGGGATCTTTCTCAAGTTCAGAGCCAATCAGGACTAACTTGGTCAAACTTGTGGAGATTTTGTTTTTCGATGGCAGCTCGCGGATATGCCCCTCAATGTGAATGATTTGAACAGCCTGATATTGCAATAGTTCCCTGATAGCAGAATGCCTGTTATCTTCATAGCAGTCAAAGTTTCTGACATCAATAGACAACTGGATCTGTTTGTTTGACGGTTGTTTCAGATGCTCGTTGATAAACTGTAGGTCAGTGAGATCACCATCAATCTTCACAGCTAGGTTATGAAGTTCGGTCAATGTCTGCAGATCAGTAACATTGCACACCCTTGTGATGAAGTTCTCGAGAGTCTCAAGCTCTGTCAAGCCATCCAACCGCAATTTGTCTCCGGTGTACGTTTGAAACATCCGTGGAAGATAGAGATGTTTCATTTTTCTCAGCTTCCACAGCACGTTTGGCAGAATCACCTCAGTAATCGAATCATCCACTCGCAAGTCAAGTACTTGTAAGTATAACAAATTACTAATAGCCAATGGCAACTGATTCAAAATACATCTCTTGAAACTCAAATACCTCAAGTGGACTAGCTTGGATATCCCGTCCAGTAATCCATTTTGTCTAATATTAGACATCCCATCAACTGTGAATTCGTCCCATCCAATATCAACCCCATCAAAATCAAGAAGTCTAAGCAGCCTTAACTCTTCGACATCAAACTTACCTGACAATCGTACAGGAGTCCTACCTTGCTGCTTGTGTGCGTCAAGGATATGTAGGCTATGAAGGTTCCTAGTGCGCTCTTTCTTGGCCAAAATGCCGCTATCCTCTAGCTTTTCTAGGCACACGATCAAGCGCCGTGTTTTGTTTCTTGAAGATGATGAAGAGAAATCTGAACCTAGCTGAGAATCATTAATGTGGCTGAAATTTATCTGATTACCCTTTGATATACATAGTTGTCGCATTATTCTGGAAATGCGGCAACATTTGAGTCTTCTAACACTTGGAACTTCCTCTTCTTCAACCTCAACCATACTCATCCTTTCAAGTTCTGTTAGATAGTTCTCTGCGACATTGATATCTTGCGGCTTTACTAAGCCTTCGACAATCCAGAAGTGGTATAACTTGTCTGCGTCAATCACCGAGTCTTCTGGCCAAAGGCCCAAGTAAATAAAACATAGTTTGAGGTGATCTGGTAAGTCATCAAAGCTTGGAGCTAAAACTTGTAGTACATTGTCAGTTAGAAATGACATTAAGTTTTGATGCACTATATTCCACTCATCCAGACTTTCTTTACCTGCCAACTCTTGACCGAGTTTGATGATCGCCACAGGGATCCCTTCACAGCGTTTCACCATCTCCTTCCCAATATTCTCCTTCTCTGCGCTGAGTTTATCATCTGCCAACGAGAAACCAAGGGTTATATATATAAAAGGTCGACTGAAGTACGGTCGCAATTTCACTATTCTTTTCCCTATTTAAATAACCTACATGTTACCACCTACCAGGGCGGATTTAAGGGGGCGGAAGGGTGTTCATTCGAACCCCATTCGTCGGAAAATTACACTGGGGTTCAAACTTTCTTTAAGGGCCTAAGTTCGATCCCTACTTCCCACACACTGCAATTAATTTTTCTTTCTACTACTTGAACAGTATATTACGCAGAAGGTGAGGCAAATAAGACTCCTATTGTTTGCCTTCAACTTCTTTGTCTTATTTAATTATTAAAGTAGTTATTTTTGCAATTATCTTTTGCTCATTTTTTGTTAATTATTTATTAAACATGATTTTTTTTTGCCTTTTCTTCCTTAGAATGCCCTTTTTTACTAGCATTTTTTTTTTTTGTAAAAACAATTACTTCAAAACAAACCAATGTATTAGTTTTAATCCAACATATCGTTAGCATGAGTTTTGACGATAGTTTATTTCTATTTAGATTTAATATTTTTTATGATACCCGTTTGACATTACATTTAGATTCAACAAATTTTGATTAGCCCATTCGATGAAACTTTTACTGTTCACTTCTTTATAATATTGAACCCCGAGTCCTGAATCCGCCACTGCCACCTACATGCTCCTCTGTTACATGCTTAAACAAGCAACAGCCAACAGTTGTTTATTTTGTCAATTAATGCGCTCCAGATTTAATTACCTTGAGGTCCTTGACCATTTCTCTAAACATAATTAAGAAATAACTATCTTCAAATCAACAGAAGTTAAAGAGCTAATTACAGTCGACATTTAATTGCGGTTTCCACCATAACCTCAATTCCCTCCTCCATATCAGCCCCTCTGTCACATCTAAGGTTTGCATCAAATAGTTTCACCTTCTATTAAGACCATTCACAACATAGGAAAGGTAATAGCTTTCTTATATGTCAATTTGAATTAATATACAGAGGAAATGTACCTCGATTGTGTCGCCGGTATTCTTCCATAAGTAACTCCCATGCGTCATTTTCCTTCAGTCCACGCACAGTGTAGACGGATGGTGGCTTCAGAAAATTAACATATTCAGCTACTTGTCTCTTCCGCGTCGTAACCAATATTCTGTGACCCTTGTTGGTAATTGGTGAGAAACGGTCATCGAAGAGTATCCGCTGCAGTTCATCCAAAACTTCAGTAGACCATATATCATCTAGAACAAACAGGAATCTTCCACCTTCTCTAATTTTTCTGATGATTATATCAACCAACTCATCTTCTGATTTATTGGTACAATTTTTTCTGTCAAAATAGCGAGCAATTTGCACAAGTATGTTTCCCGGGTTAAACGTGGACGAAACAGGGATCCAGATTCTATGAAGAAATTTGTACCAAATATCTGGGTGGTCATAGATCTCGTAAGCAAGAGTTGTCTTTCCCACTCCGCCAGCTCCACATAGTGAAATGACTTTTAAGTCCTCAGACTCATCCATTAGATATTCGATAAGCTGAACTTTATCTTCCTTGAGCCCAATGGAATTGCGATCTGGTCGACTATAATAATCGAGCCTTTCCCATTCGTCTTTCTCTCTTAATTCTGCAGGCAAGTCAGATACAAGGTAAGATAACTTTTGAAGGGCATGTTTGACCTGATAGTACAATTCTTTGAGCTCAAACTTGATGCTAGCATGTGGATCATGAGACTTTGAAATACAAGAGGGTAAATTCAAACATCTAATTTTGCTAGAATTATTTCTTAGACCATGATTTTTAACGGCTTCCTCTGTATGACAGGCAGCTTCGTCAATTTTGGTGATCAACTGTTCTATTGTATTGCTTTGATTTGGACCTGCATTCTTTAGAATTGACTGATTATCCATAAGCAGTTTAGTTAAATCCTGGATTTGTTCACCCAACCCAATATCTGTGGTTGTTTCTTCATCGGACAACCGACGAAATCTTTCCATGGCAAAGAAGATTTCGAGCTCCTTCATTATTGTCTAGCTACGTACCAAGGTAAAACCTCCCAAAGAGTTCAGCTAATTTCCTAAAAATATGAAAAAGGAAAAAAGTTCAACCAAAAGGATTGAGAATTTAAGGAAAGAAAATATTCACGTTTAACGAAAGAAGACCGAAAAGCTGGACAATGGTGAAAGAAGATTTAACGGTCAAGGCATGTATTAAAACATTTTTTTCTATCCAGCTGGAGTTCCGTTAAAAGTATGGGCATTTTTAACATTTTTTATAACGGCAAGAGTGTTTTGATTTGCAAAAAGGAGTACTCCGTATAACATAAGTTAAATATAAACTATTTTACAAAAGTAGGGACAAATTTCTTTTAGTTAAGCAGCTTTCATTGAAGGAAGATCACTTATTTACAATGTCTTGATATGCCATGATCTTCTAAGACACTACAATAGGAAGACAACTCCTAGGTGTTTGATGAAGATTGATCTAAAGAAGGCCTATGATATGGTAAGATGGGAATTCCTGGAAGAAGTACTCAGAGGCTATGGCTTTCCAATGTCATTCATCCAATTAATAATGGTGTGTGTTACAAAAACCAAGTTCACTGTCAAGGTGAATGGTGCAGGTTATGGATATTTTGAAGGAAGAAGGGGATTGAGGCAGGGAGATCCTATGTCTTCACTACTGTTTGTACTTGTCATGGAGTACCTAACAAGAGGGATGAACATGATAAGTGAATTGACAGATTTTCAATACCATCCAATGTGTAAGAGCACAAAATTGACTCACTTGATATTTGCAGATGATTTGATGTTATTTTGTAAAGGCAATAGTCAGTCTATCAATAGGATGTTGGAGGTGGTGAATCATTTTAGTGCAGTATCAGGACTGGTAGCAAATATGAAGAAGTCCAACAAATATCTAGCAGAAATGGATGAAGAAAGTAAGCAAGCTATAGTGAGTGCTACAGGATTCTCAGTGGGCACACTACCTATGAGATACCTGGGACTACCACTAACATCAAAGAAATGGAGTAAGATAGAATGTCACCAGTTAGGGGAGAAGATCACAACAAATATACAAACAGGTTATGCTAAACTTCTATCATATGCAGGTAGACTGCAAGTAACTAACTCAGTCTTATTTGCAATGTATAATTTTTGGGGAGCTGTCTTTATACTACCTCAAAGTGTTATAAAAAGCAATTGATAGGAAGTGTAGGGAGTACCTATGGGGCACTACAGAAGGTCATAGGAAAATGGCTTTGGTATCATGGGAAGTTCTGTGCAGGCCAAAGAAATATGGTGGATTGAGTATAAATGGATGTAAAAATTGGAATATAGCATCTGTTGGGAAACTACTATGGCAAATAGTGACAAATAAAGAGGTTCTATGGGTGAGATGGGTACATGGGGTGTATATGAAAGCATGTAGGAATATCTGGGAACACAGGCCACCATGTGATTGCAGTTGGTATTGGAAGAAGTTGAATAGCTTAAAACAAAACATGGCACAATGGTATCAGGGGAATGCATATAGGCTGAATAGCAATGGGCAGTATTCAGTATCTAGGAGCTATAATGCAATGATAGGATATTTTCCAAGATGCAGGGAAATGAAACTGATATGGAACAGGACACTACTGCCAAGACATAGGTTTGTCTTGTGGCTGGCTTACCAACAAAAAATGCAAACAAAGAGTAGGTTAGTACAGCTGAATATTCCTATAACAAACAATGTTGAATGTTGCCTTTGTGATCGGGGAGTAATTGAAACACAACAACATATGTTTGGAGATTGTAGTTGATTTAAAGACATGAAAGAGGCTTTAACAAGCTGGGCAGCAATTAAGCTACCAAACATGGCAATACCAGAGCTGTTAAAATGGATCAATAGAAGGCATTGGAAGCACATGAAGAAAGAGGTTGCAACAGCAATCATAAGAGCAATGGTGTATCACACTTGGCAAGCAAGGAACTGGAGGATCTTCAGACAAATTGCTTTGAACCTGGAATTTTGCATTGGACAAATAAAAAAGGAGATTGTGGACAGGCTAAGCATGTATGTAGAACCCAAAAGAGCAAGGCAATGCCCCTTGATGATGCAAAGGCTATGTACTTAGGAAGTAGTATGTAAGTAGGAACCTGTAGTTATTATCTCAATAGCCATAAAAGATTGTACTTAGAATGATTTTATTTTTGATATTTGAGGTCTGGATGTACTAGAAGATCTAGTACACTGGATGCTCTTAGGATGTAAAAAAAAAAAAACAGTTGGTTGTTATGGTAATATTCACATTTATTGCCAAAAAAAAAAAAAAATTCTTTTAGTTGGAGGAGGCATGCTGAAAAAACCTATCAGCATATTTTGGACATTTCGTTATTGGAACTTTGACTTTTGAGGGAACAATATATAGGCTTAACTCCCTTAAAATAGATCAGATGTGCTGCCGCCTATATGTTGACTATTGACATCTCCATTGTGAAAGCTTTCAATATAGGCTATGGTTTTCTTTCATTAAACGAGAATATTTTCTTTCCTTAAATTCTCGATCCTTATTTTTCTCTTTTACATATTTTTATGAAAGCTGATCGAACTCTTTTGGAGGAGGCTTTAGCGTGGTAGCCAAACGATAATGAAGGAGCTCGAAATCTCAGTTGCCGTGGAAAGACTTAGCCGGTTGTCCGATGAAGAAACAGCAATGGAAATTGGGTTAGGTGAACGCATCGAGGATATAACTAAACTGTTACTGGATAATCGGTCTATTCTAAAGAACGATGATCCAAGTCAAAGAGAGACAATAGACGAGCTGATCACCAAAATTGACAAAGTTTCATTTAATATAGAGTACGCCATCGGAAATCATGGTCTATCAAGGAATAATTCTAGAAAATTTAGCATGGGATGTATGTCATGTTGCATACAAAGCCAAGATGATCCATATTTTAGAATCAAGTGTGGGCTAAGAGAACTGTACGACGACGTCAAACATGCTCTTGAGAAGTTATCTTACTTGCCTGCGTCAAATGAGAAAGACGATGAATGGAAGAGGTCCGATTACTATTACAACCTCCCACCTGATCGCGATGTCGTTGGCCTCAAGAAAGTTAAATCTGAGCTACTCCAATGCCTCATGGATGAGTCCGAGTACTTAAAAGTCATTTCACTCTATGGAGTTGGCGGAGTAGGGAAGACCACTCTAGCACACCAAGTGTTCAAAGACCCAGGGATTGAGTTAGAATTTAATTTTCGAGTCTGGATCCCTGTTTCTTCCAAGTTTAACACCAAAGACATACTTATGCACATTCTTAGCTGCATTGAAGCACGTCGTCATTTAGCTGACAAACCGCAAGCCGAGTTGGCTGATGATATTATATATTCTATTAAAAAAGGTGGAAGATTCCTGTTTGTTCTAGATGATGTTTGGTCGACTCGAGTTTTGGATGAACTGCAGCGTCTACTCTTATCAGCTAAGAAGAAGGGTTCCAGTTCCAGCATATTGCTTACCACACGGAAGAGGCAAGTAGCTGAAAACGGTATTCTGAAGCCACCATTCGTCTACACAGTGCGTCGCCTCATGAAAATCGACGCCTGGAAGTTATTTATGGAAGAATACCGGCGACACAATAAAGGTACGTACCTATATTTCTCGGCCATCTTAAAAGCTATTGTTAAATCCGGGTTCCAGCATATTGCTTATTTAGTCGATACATTTCTTCTTTTTTTTTTTTTGGAGTAAATGTGTTGTTCTTTTTTTGTTAAATAACCCTCGATTTCTCGTTGTCAGAAGATAAACTCAGCGCAGAGAAGGAGAATATAGGGAAGGAGATGGTGAAACGCTGTGAAGGGCTCCCAGTGGCGATCGTGAAACTCGGTCAAGAGTTGGCAGGTAGAGAAAGCCTGGACGAGTGGAATATAGTGCATCAAAACTTAATGTCATTTCTAACTGACAATGTACTACAAGTTTTAGCTCCGAGCTTTGATGACTTACCAGATCACCTCAAACTATGTTTTATTTACTTGGGCCTTTGGCCAGAAGACTCGGTGATTGACGCAGACAAGTTATATCACTTCTGGATGGTCGAAGGCTTAGTAAAGCCGCAAGATATCAGAGTCGGAGTAACAGCATTAACTGTAGCAGAGCAATATCTAACAGAACTTGCAAGGATGAGTATGGTTGAGGTTGACGAAGAGGATGCTCCAAGTGTTAGAAGGCTCAAATTTTGCCGCGTTTCCAGAATGATGCGACAACTATCTATATCAAAGGGTAACCAGATAAATTTCAGCCACAGGATTGATTCTTTGGTAGGTTCAGATTCCACTTCAACATATTTAAGAAACAAAACAGGACGCTTGTTCGTGTGTCTAGAAAGGCTAGAGGATAGCGGCATTCTGGCCAAGAAACAGCACACTTGGAACCTTCATAGCCTACATATCCATGACGCACACAAGCAGCAAGCCAGGAGACCTGTACGGTTGTCGGGCAAGTTTGATGTTGAGGAGTTAAGGTTGCTTAGACTTCTCGATTTTGATGGGGCTGAAATTGGATGGAACGAAATAGCAGCTGATGGGAGATCAATTATTAGACGGAGTGAATTACTGGAAGGGATATCCAAGCTAGTTCGCTTGAGGTATCTGAGTTTTAAGAGATGTATTTTGAATCAGTTACCAGTGGCCATTAGTAATTTGTTGTACTTACAAGTACTTGACTTGCGCGTGGATAATTCGATTACTCAGCTGATTTTGCCAAATGTGCTGTGGAAGATGAGAAAAATGAAACATCTATATCTTCCACGGAAGTTTCGAACGTACGCTGGAGACAAATTGCGGTTGGATGGCTTGACAGAGCTTGAGACCCTAGAGAACTTCATCACAAGGGTATGCAATGTTACTGATCTGCAGACATTGACCGAACTTCATAACCTAGCTGTGAAGATTGACGGTGATCTCACTGACCTACAGTTTATCAACGAGCATCTGAAACAATCTTCAAACAAACAGATCCAGTTGTCTGTTGATGTCAGAAACTTTGACTGCTTTGTAGATAACAGGCATTCTGTTATCAGGGAACTATTGCAATATCGAGCTATCCGAATCTTTTGCATTGAGGGGCATATCCGCGAGCTGCCACCAAAAAACAAAATCTCCTCAAGTTTGACTAAGTTAGTCCTGATTGGCTCCGAACTTGAGAAAGATCCTATGGAAAAGTTATCTAAGCTTCCCAATTTACGGGTTCTAGTCCTCGATGATAACGCTTTTGAAGGGACGGATATGGTTAGTCCTCCTTCTGGTTTTACTGAACTCAAACGTTTAGAAATCTTGAATTTGATATTTTTGGAGAGTTGGACTGTAGAAAACAATTCTATGCCAAAGCTTTCTAGCATAAAAATTGAAAATTGCCCGAAATTGAGGATCCCAGATGGCTTCAAGTTCCTCACTGCTCTCAAAAAGTTGGAGATCGCAAAGATGCCTAAATCATTTGCAGATATGCTCCGCGGGATAGATGGAAGACGAGATGAAGACACAGACATAGTAGAGTATGTGAAGATCACTTTTCCGATAACTGATGGTGAGCTACCTATCCAAGTCTTTACTATTTACAGTCTGACATCCATATATAATAGTCATTCACTATAAAAGCTAGCCAAGTTATTCTTGGAATTATGTTATGTTATAATATATGTCCTCTATAACAACATTTCACTATAGTAGCCAAAACTATCGGAACAAACGAGACTGTTATAGAGATGTTTGACTGCACTAACTTTTCCCTCAATAATAATAAAAAAGGCGCTATATTTAAAATCTATTTGTTGTGTTGTGAGAAAATATATCATCAAGTCTTTTGTGTTTCCCCTATTTTCTTCCATGTACTAAATATAAGACTAATATCCAAAGATTAAACATGATCCTTGAACATTTCTCCTTGTTTACAGAGATAACCAGATCACAAGATGAAGCCTCCACATCAGATGTGCATACAGCTTAACATTCCATGCTGCTATCAATAAAAAATGGTGAAAGACTCTCTCATTGTTGAGTTGGTGGTAGAGAGTTGAAGTTGATTCCTGCTGTTAATGTTTTTGTTTTTTAATGTTGCACCCGAGATGAAGTTTGGTGATTATTTGTTATTTGAAAACCTTGTCATATTTGTGTGTGTTTATGTTTTCTGTGTGTTTAATTTATGAAGGGATTATGGTTCATCACTTTTTTCAATGGTTTGATAATAACCTAATAATCTCTTTGCCCAAGCTTCTAAAATCAACTTATTTTAAAAAAAGTGTTTCTCAGAAGTTCTTTTCAAAAAAATACTTTTGGTAAGAGGCAGTTTGTATACTTTAAAGTGTTTTTCTCAAAAGTACTGGTGAGAATCAGTTTGTGTTTGGTTAATTAATTTAAAAACCACTTTTGAGCAGCAATTAGTATTTCACCAAGCTCTTAAAAAGTACTTCTAAGTGTATTTTCCTAAAAAATACTTTTCAAAAAAGTGCTTTTGAAGAAAAGCTATATTTTTCTGATGCCTAAAAATTGCTTCTACTCAAAAGCATTTTTTCCTTTTAAAAGCTTGATCAAACACCTTAACTTTGAAAAAAAAAAATATATTGCGCAAAAAAAAAAAAAAGAAATACTTTGCCAAAAAAAAAAAAAACTTGGTCAAACATGCTGTTATAAGTGGTTTTCCGAGTGATTGTTTAATGACCATCAATTTTACATACAGGTTCGTAAAAATTATCCGATCGTAGGCACAACACTTCAAATTTCTCACATAATGAAATCATTTTGAAAAGATAATATAACCAAAACTCTCTATAACAACCTTATTTGTTTCGATATTCTTTAGCTATTATAGCGAGGTTGTTATACAACTATAACAATATTTAATATTTAAATATTATTGGGATATTATAGACAAAAATATTCAAAAATTATATCTTTTCCTTTTTATGTTACAAGTAAAAAATAAGAAAATTATTCAAATTTAGAATCTCAAAAAATATGAATGTGTCACTAATTAAATATTAAATAAAGATAATATACTGTTAATAAACTAACAACTAAATCTCAAAGAATATGCATGTGTCATTACTATATATTGATTCATTTTTGTAGAATATTTTTTTTCTCCACTTTCACCCATTTACGTCCGTCCATATATAAATAGGTCTGATTGTATAATCAAAAACTTGTTCCAAAAGAAGAAAAAAGGAAGACGACAAAAGAAGGAATCTACAGGGCAATACAGCCTTATATTGAGTTGACATACTTAGATAAGATAACTACACTAGTCTGATTGGCCAAGCTTCTCCAGAGCTAAAAATATTTTTTGTCCCAAGAAAAATGCTTTTTTCAAAGTTGAAGTATTTGGCCAAGCTTTTAGAAGAAAAAAAGTGTTTTTGAATGAAAGCAGAAGCAGCTTTAGAGAAGTAGAAAAAGTAGTTTCTCCCCAAAGTACTTTTTTTAAAAGCACTTTTGAGAAAAACATTTAGAAGTGCTTTTTAAAAGTTTGGCAAACACTAATTGTTGTTCAGAAGTGATTTTCAAATTAATTAGTCAAATACAAATTGTTTCTCACGAAAAATACTTTTAAGAAAAAGCACTTTGATCACGCCCAACTATGCCTTATAAAAGGACACGCGGACGTTGCAAATATAATCTGAGTATTTATGCCCAGAGTCGAACCCACAGGGAATTAACCTATCAATCACTTTCGTTGGACTTACTAAATTCTACGGAATCAACTTCCTCAAACGTTGTAAATAACAGTTGATGGTATTACTAATAACTAAGACTGAAAGTAAATAAACAGCTGAAAACTAACTATGCTTGAGTTGTAAACAATTATGAGAAGGTTCTAAGGTAGTGATTTCCCCTATTGATGGAATCCCTTCCGGTTATGTTTCATATAGATTCACCAAAATATCTCTATCAATCATGAGCACTCCTTTTACCCTAAATTTCTCCCGAGTAATCACGATAATTTACTAGACGCACTCTCCTGAGATACACTAGCTGGCTTTGTTTATTGCAGCTCACTTTAGATTGCACCCAAGGCTTCGTTATTCCTAATCCCGCCTTTAAACCCGCAGTTATAGATCCCTCTTATACTTTGGGAGTGATGTTGTTCAACAACTACCTAAATATGCACTCTCTCCCGAGTTATGCACACTAAATAGGCACAGCTAATTGAGGATCCTGTCAATTAACTACAACAAACACGTAGTTGAACAAATAGAGATTAACTGACAAACTATATTAACATAATCAAAAACTCATCCTTCAATAGGTTCCATCAAAACCCTAGACAAAGGATTTAGCTACTCATGACAAAACGAGAATAAACTACTAAATTATTCATAATGGGTAATTGCAAGAAAATAAAAGAGATAGAAAAACTCTAATGTTTGGTTGATCTTCTCACACTTGTTCTTGCCTCCAAAAGTAGTCTAAAAACAAGCTTAACTTCAACTTGGGCGAATTTCTAGAGCTTATAAGGGTTTTACAAAAGTTTTCCCGAAAATACACTTTAGTCCCCAGACATCCAGCAGCGTGAACAGTTCACCGCGGTCGCGGCGTGGACCGCGGTCGACCGCGGTGACAGCTGACCTTACTGCCTCACATCTTAATCCACCGCGGTCGCGCACCGCGGTCGCGCACCGCGATCGCGGTGGAATTCTTGCCCAGGCCATTTTCTGCTCCTTTGTGCTCGGGTACTTCTCGAGTGGGCGTTTTCTTCACATTATCGCCTCCAAAACACTATGTGTTGCTTCCTCACATATAATATTCCCTGCGAAACAAAAGGACACTATATAGAGCATTTTGTTGGCACTTATAAAACAACAACAAAGCATGGTCATATTAAGGTGTAAATATCAACTATATAGCCTACCATCAACACCCCACACTTAAATCATTGCTAGTACTCGAGCAATCCACCCTACTCCATCAAAACTCCTTCCCTAAGCTTTTCCCTTAACGACTCACACCATGAACATTTTACAAAAGTTGCACCTAGTAGTGAACAACTTTTACCTCAAGAATCAAATCTTTCGTACTATGCAACATTCGCACTTACTCAAACCACTCTATACAAGAGTCAAGACTTACCTTTCCTTTGTGAATCACATGCCCTCACATCACACAAGAGAGCAGTTCCACGTATATTGGTAATTAGAACAAGTAGGAACTAAGATAGACAAAATTCGCTCACTCTCAGAAAGAACATTCACATGCCACAAGATGCACCATAGGCTTGCCCATACGTGTAATACTCTACTAACTTGAGCCCAATCAGTCTAAGATCAATAGGACTTTACTTGGTTGTAATGTAGGTTAAGGGACGGTTAGAATATATTTAGATATAGTGACTAACCTCCCTAAGCATTTTTAATACAATTACATTAAACTTCAGGATCATAGTTGTGTCAACCAAACACTCCACCTTATTTGTTTAAGACATCCCCATCCATTAGGTGCAATTTGTACAAGCTACCACGTATCAACCACTATAATTATTTATAACTTTCTCTCTTTTTTTTCGTGGTGCTTTTTCTTTTATGCTTCAAAATTCCACACCTTTTCTCTATCTCAATGGTTCCACTCAAAAACCAAACCACCACCCCACACTTTTGCTTTTGCATATTTTCAATACCATTCAAGTGCTTATTGGGAGGTAAAAGGGTTCAAACAGCAGGCTATTCAAACAATTGGGTAAGGTTCGCAATGTGGTTGCCAAAGAAACAGGTTTATATGCTCAACGGGGTTAACTAAGATGTAATGCATTCAGGTGGGTTTACTTTATGTGTCTGGCTCAACAAAGAAATGCCTATATCACTTCTCAAACTGAATGAAACTACTATTTCGCTTTGCAAACACACAGGGCAAGTTCTAGGCATCAAGTGTGAATCATGGAATACAGTAAAACTCACTCACACATGGCATATGACTCACTCCGGATTAGTTTATCAAGATATTCTCTTTTGAGTGTTCAAGTTAGATACAAACATACAATTTTAAGGCACTTAAACAAGATTCAACCCTTGAAGCTAAGCGTTACACTCTAGTGTCTACTGTGTTCAGGTGTAAAAATGCTAAGGGTTTTTAGCTCGTAGCCCATTAATCCTAATCTAAAACTAAAAAAGAACAAAAACAAAAACTACCTATACCCGGTTCAAGTTAAACCCTTGGAAAAGAACCGTGACCCAAAGAAAAACCAAGGGGGAGTTGCTACACTACCTACAAATAAAAATAAAAATAAAAAAAATCTTTTTGGTCTTTTCTCTAGACTAACTTCCCTCAAGAAAATTGTCTAAAGGATCCGTCATCAGGAAGAGTCTCCATATTCTATTTTTTTTCCCGACTTAGTCCCTCAAGAACCCCGCCGAAAGAGATCCATCATCGGGACAAGTCACTTACTATTTTAACTTTCCTAATGAACTATTACTCTAACACCAAAACAATCAAAGCAAGACAAAACAAACAGTCAATTGTTACAATTACAAACATACAATGAAGTATCCCCCACCCCCACACTTAAAACGAATACATGTCCCCATGGCTTCAAAATTTTAAAGAACAGTGAGGTAAAGGAACTTCCTTGACAGTTCACTCCTGGTCGGAGACGGTGTCTGGGTTCACGTTGCAAGCACGTCCCAGAGCTCTCAACCAGCCCAAGAATTTCTTCTCCGACTTCACCTGCCTTTCAGCCACCGCATCCACTCGGGCCCCCAATTCAGTGACTGGGGTACGCAACCCAGCCATATCCTGTTCTAAAGCTGTCATACGGGTGCTCCTGCGTGGCTGTGAAGGGCCTGCCACATCAACTCTCGGAGGAGGGGGGACCTCAGCTACCTCAGCATCATCCTCATCATCATCTGAATCATCATCACTGTCCGCCACCGGCTCTCTTCCCTCGAGTCCAATTTTTCTAGCCCGGAATGGGGCTTTCAAAGGCAATTTCCCATCAACTCGAAGGTTTTCAGGGACTTGAGCAAGACGGCACAGCCGGGTGATTAGCGAAGGGAAGTAGTGGCCCTTGATTAGCTCAGGCGATCTAATGAACATTTCATCATGGAGGACTCGGGCGACATCAAAATCTTGGTGTGTCATAAAGCAGTAGATAATCGTTGCCCGTGGCCCATTCACATCAGTAGATTGCTGGATGGTAGCAGGCGGGTGTTGATGACAGTGAGCCAGCACTTTGCCTCCC